GTAATGAGAGCCTCAACGCTCTAGCTACCTCTGGAGTATACTGAGCTCGAATCTACGTCGGCTATGGATTGCCTACAATAGGAACAGGTGCCAGTGATGCTGGGCTTCAACCTGCGGATGAACAGTCGCACCACTTCCTATTAGATCTTATTCTACTGCTATTCTTGCCAGAAGTCGATCAACAATGATCTCCACAAGCAGGTACAAAAAATCTCTTCCAGAAGCCGTCTGCGTCAGCTCTCACCAGCTGTCGTGGCATATAAAGCACATACGCACATGTTCTTCACGAACTAGTCACAGAGTAGATCTACCTTCAATACTTATCCATTTCTGTACGTACTCGAACCGTACTTCTGTCCGTGTTCGATATCACCAATGTCCGTTTTAATTGTCCGACATGTTTGACTGTTCTTTTACCTATCAAGATCCCATTTCACCAACACAAAGGCCCATCCCTAAATACAATAGATAAAGAAGCACTTTCCTATGTGGAATTATGTTGTTGGACCAATTCCACATCTACGATCTTATGTTTCCCAGCAGTCAATACTTGTGTAGGACTGTGTAGGACTAGTACCAGGAAAAAATAAGAAAGGCCTTTTGTGAAAAGTCGAAATCTCATAGCGCCTTCTGACAATGATTTCCACTTACAGAGGCTTGTTGTACCCTTTCTATGATATATAAAAGAGTTTCCGCTATGCGTTCAGTTCTTTGGTGGCCATATTTGGTAAAGAGCATTTAGAGATTGTACTTGTGGTCAATGGAGTCAATTTTACATAGATTTTGTACCGTATCCACATGTTTTGGTTTTGTGCAGCTAGCTCAGGAAACGGTTAAAACCTGGTTTTAAGGTCAACCTAAGTTTTTGTGAAAGACTGGTAGACAGAAGCTTGCCCTTCCTGTTGCTGTATTGTTCGATTACAGCATAGACACCAAAGTGAAACATCTCCATACTTGCACCGCTTGCTTTGTGTCTCAGTACTGTAGGTCTCCATGACAAAGGAGTTCCACTAGAAGGAATCCAGGGAGTGTTCAAAGGCTAATCAATTGCCATTTTGTTTATGGATTGTGAGAAAAGGTCACTTCATTGCAACGTGGTGGACAACTATGACCGTTTGGAAGACAACCAATGTCTCATGGTGGTCACCAGATGTCTCTTGGTTGTCATTATGACTCTTGTGTGTCATTCCAACTGAAGGAATGTCTAAAAAAGGGGGCACCTTGTGAAAAAAAGGACAAGGAAGAGGTCTGCCGCAAAAAGGGTAGACCAGGGGAATTTTGGGGGATTTCTTCCTAAAAAGGTCACAACTACTGTTTCAGATGTATGCTTCAGGATAAAGTTTCAAGCTCTTCTGGAACGAATCAGCAGGTGTAAGACAGTCAGGCTTAGATACAAGAGGTTGTGGTAAAGGAGAGTTATTAGAAACTATAAAGTCACTATATTGATAATTCAGGAATACTTGTACATCGATGTTCATGCAATTGATCGGGGTGATCAGATCGCGATGGATGTTTTAACAAAGGTAAGCATACCCAAGTAAAGCCCAAAGAGTACCACAATGGGGCTGCCCAAGCTGAGTAAGCTGAGTTTGGCCAGTATCCACCCCTTGTGCGTCAAGAATGGGTGCATTGTACTTCAGTTCTAGGAGCTCAGCCTCACTGTAAGAGAGGAGGTCCATGGAGTTAATACATCCATCGCAACAACGAGCAAGCATGAGTGGACTGTCAAGAGATGCTCGAAAGAGGGTCGTGACAGCAAACTCTAGGCTTGCAAAAGTATCACCAGGTTGTACGGTAGTATTGGCAGGCGTACCGACGGTGGTGCCAACAGTTAGAGTTGCAGGGCTGACCCATTGATTGGCAGCACCAGCAGTAGGAGAAGGTTCAGAGTTTGTACCGCTCCGAGTAGTTGGCATGTCTGCTTTGTTGTTGGGGGCAAAAAGGTAGGGGAAGAGTCTTCTTACAAGAGCAAAAACTCTAAGGACAATGCCTGTCCCAAAAATTCTTAGTGCAAAGGTCAATGAGAAGGGTGTTGAAGATGTATTTTGTGATATTTGGAGAATAAAGAATGAGGAGCAGGGACATCAGGCATTAGGAAGTGGGCTATCTTGAGTAAGATTGAACAATGCCTGACAATCATGTAAGACGTATTGATAAGACCACAGCAAGATCAATACATAAGGAGAATTGAGTTGAATGTAGTCATAGCAAGATACCAGATGCTGTGTATGACTGAAGAGCCTCATTAGAAAGGGGATTAACAACTTCAGCTCACAATCAGTTGCATGACAAATACATTTTACTCCTATGGAGATTCCAACAGAGGTCTGTAAATGGCGCGGACGTCCTGTAGGAAGGCCTCTCTGCACTTGCAATTTCTTTGTGCAAATCTGTCTCATCATTACTTCTCTGGTGAACTAATTCTATGGCTTTGATTTCCCAGGAATTCAATGTTTCACTGGAGCCGTACCCATCTGTTCGGTGCAAGGGCACACGTCTATGCATCTGAGTACTACTACTATGCGAATTACCACAAGAGGAGTGATACCAAATCAAGACGCTTTGCCTGCTTACCGTTTCCACACGTTAAGTGTAGCAAACGAAGGGACAAGTTTAATGAAATATGGAAGCTTTTCAGCGGAAACCTTTTTGAAACCATGCGTGTCGTGATTGGGGGGGGGGTCTGGGCAAATTATATATCTGCACTCCGACGGAAGTGCACTCAAGTTTGCGGGAAACTCATCTGTTGCAAGCGCAAAATAAGGGTTTCTGTCACTTTCCCCAACCCATCCTGCAGGTGTCTCAATATTTTTAACAGTGCATTTTCGCCCAGTAATTGGCAGAGGATCAGAACCCCGCTCTGAAGTGTGATGGCAAGACCTCACGGGAACAAAAGCGGGAGAAAATCCATCATCGTACAAAATACGTGACCACATGGCAGCATCAACAGCTATCCCTTGTTGCATTTTGTAGCGCGTGCTGATTCTGAGGAGATCAAATGCCACAGATGAATGGACTATTCCGCAAGGTCTTGGACGAGCATGTAGAATTGTAGGTGCACTTTCGCTCACATAATATGGGAGGCTGTAATCTTGGTATTGACAAGGGGTGAACACGAAGGATGCACCAGATTCAAACCCACGGACGATGTTTGCCAGGTGATCGGAATCCCAAAAATCATCATCATCCAGTCGTACCATAAATTCATTCCCATCCGCCAAAATGCGGTTGATCGCATTTGAAATTGCACCGAGACCTGCATTCTCCCACAGCTGTGTTCCCTCAAACACACCTCGTTCACCTGGAATTTCTAAATTATACATATGCACCCTATCGTCATTGATAAATGAGAGAGACTTCCACTCCTCATCGTCGTCGTAGTGATCTCCTGTCAAATAAAGTGCCCAATATTCATATGATTGGCTCTGCAACATTTTCCAAAGCCGTTCCAGTTTTAACGGCGTCGATCCGTCATCACGACGATAAGTTGCCACAGCTATGCAAAGCAGAGGTTTAAAGTACTCTTCAGCATGGACATTGTTGGGAGAGGGTGGGAATTGTCCGAATTTTTGAAAACCATAAAGCGGGCTGAATCTGGTATCATGAGTAGGCTGCAGTGTACCAAGCGGCACAAGGCTCGAGATCATTGCAATTCTATCTACTACGGTTTTCACTTTGGGGTTCAGATAGTGGCCGAATACCATAAACCCACCCGGGCGCAAAACATTGATTGTGGTTTGATACTCGGTCCAAACGCCAGATTCAGAGCAGTCCGAATTGATGAAAACAATGTCAAAAGACCCCGATAGTGGAAGTGACGCGTTCCGAACACGAAATTCCCAACGCCGACCATCAGTGCAATTTTCATTGATGAACAGATTTTCACGGATGAAATTCTCTCTGAACTGTGCGTGAATTGTTCTAGTACGAGAATGGAAGCAGGGGTTAACCATTGTAACTGATGTTATCCATGGATGCCGCAACATCAACGATGCAGAAGTTCCAGGATGACTACCGATTTCAAGAAACTTCACAGGGCGATCTCCAAGATGGGATCGTATATCGTACAAAACATGTAGTGCCTCGTTCGTGCCGAAATCTTCAATCTTCTCTTTAACCTTATGCAATGCCTTGAGCGATGCTTCGGTTGCATTCCAACTCGTTGGAAACCAATTCGTTTGGTCATGTTGAATAGTCCCCGCCCTGTTTCTTCTAAAACTGGTTGAAGCTGTTGTCGAAAGCTTCCAGTGTGTTGTTCCTGTGTTGAAAACAAAAAAAAACAAGTGAAGGAAAAGTCCAGCATACCAAAATCTCCGTCCATATTTAATCGACCACCGAAATGTCGCCAAAATACACGAGAGGATAATTCCAAATCGGGGGAAAAATTTGATGAGCTGCATCATGTCTAATCCCACCTTGAATAAGAAGCGATATTATCGAACCCTTTGTCGCTTGCAGCGTGCATTGAATTTCGATTTTTTTGCTGCAGAATGCATGCGTGTTTCCGTTTCGATAGTACGAAATTCAAAAATGCATTGTGGTAGTCGAATAGGTCAAACAACGCATCACTGTGTATTATACATTCGCAATTTTTTAATCTTTATTGATACCATCGTTGTGGCTGGCATAGTCATGCTCCAAGATTAGTTGCCAAAAGCAAATGATTTGCTGCCAAATTTCGGAGAGACGGTGAAGCTTTCGACAGCATGGAGTTTTCAGCAGGATGCTTCATTGTTTGGCTTCCAACCTTCCGATGAGCGACATGCTGCGGTGTCCTCTACGGGGGCAGCAATCGCCTTGATTGGCCTCTCCAGTAGGCAATGGAAGAATGGAATGACTTATCTACAGGTACTAGGGCTTTGTGGGGTTTTATTGGTGCCATTGATGGATGGTTGGCATGCACTGACAAGCAAAGGAAAGGGTGAGATCTTGACGGCAACCAAGCATTCAAATGTTGCCAAGAGCTTTTGCAGTGGATCAAAGATTTGGCAAAATAATGTTTCATTAGGGGCGACAATGCTTATCCGCTTTCCGATAATCTAGTTGTCCCCCTCAGCAGCACAGATAGGGCTGACGAAGACAAAAAGATCCTCAACTTCTTTCTGTCACAGCCTTGTACTGAAGCGGATTGAGGTCTGCAGTTTATTCAAAGCCGTAGAAAGGAAAGAGATCCATTTGGGTTGTAAGATCATGTCATCATGGACAGTGGTTTTACAAACACCACCATTTGTAATGATGAACTCATGCATGGACTCCGTCATGCTGAGAAGGAACTTGACATGCACACTAAAATGAGCAGCAGAGTTGTCCATGAAGAAGGGTTACCACGATGAAGATGGAATTGCCAATGTACTTGCTATGCGCAAGATGATTGCTGTGGGATACAGCATTACTATGGATACTGATACTGACAATGCTTTTATTGTGCATTGTGATGGAAACCGAAAGATGCGATTTGTGAATCGTAAGGATGTGTATGTGTTGGAGCAACTTGGAGCGAATGTCAAACCAGGTGCCAAAGAGACAAGTGCAATGTACCGTTGCCAGTTAAACAACTTAAATAATCAACCCCATTTTGAACTTTCTTCAAACAAACAGAATGGATATGCTGGACTCGAGATGACCTCCAAGATGGCAACCATTCGAAAGAACAAGGAAGGATTCACTCCAAGACAAGTCAAGGCTGTGATGGAAGCGAGAAGTGCAATGCACATACTCAATGCTCCAAGCACCAAAAGTCTGAAGTATGCAATCCGATCTGGTCTCATCAAGAACTGTCCTATCACCAAAGAAGCGATCAATCATGCCGAAGCAATCTTTGGACCTGACGCCTCTACATTGAAACGCAAGTCAACAAGACCAACTCCAAAGAAGAAGTACGACGACTTCTTCAGTCCACCAGCGGAACTGTATCAACATAATTGATCTATTACCGTCTGTATTGATCACATGGAGATCGAGAATGCTAAGTTTCTCACCTCCATTGATACCACTGTGTGTTATTGCTCATGTATTCCCGTGCAGAACCTGAAGACTGACCCTGTATTTGAAGCATTGGATAAGATATTCCGCCGCTACAACAAGGCAGGCTTTCAAGTCAAGATCATCAAGTGTGATTGGGCTTTCATTCCTCTCACGGATGATATGCTAGACGATATGGGTGTTACTATTGACCCGACTGCAGCTGGAGAGTGGACCACAAGCCTACCGCTGAGCGAAACAATAGGACGCTGAAAGAAAGAGTCAGAGTAGCTCTTGCACAATTACCCTACAAAGTGGTTCCAAAAGTGATCACTGAATGTCTTGGACGTCAAGCCGCCGACCTATTGACTGTCTTTCTCCAGAAAGACAGTATCTCATCACATTTCAGTCCTCAGCAACTCATTGAAAATGTCAATATCAACTACAAGAGTGACATGGTTGCTGAACTTGGACAATATGTTCATGCAATTGGGACGGATTCCAGCAATATGATGGATCCTCAAAGTATCAAAGCGATTTACATCGAACCAACGAAGGGACAACGCATTGGGCACCGCGTGCTCAACCTGAATACTAAGAAGATGATTTCCCGACCCAAGGTCGTTGTACTACCCGTTACCGATCAAGTCATCCAGCGTGTTGAAGCTTGGGCTGCTGCCAAAGGTGTTACTTTCATGAAGTTCTTCAATAAGAAGAGAGATTTGGAGACATTTCAAGATGACGATCAAATTGCAGGAGTGGATGACACGGAACAAGGTTACTTAGAAGAAGCTTTTGATCAGGACTATGAACCTGAAGATGAAGATGAACGTGATTTCAATCTACATGGACAATTCAATGATATTGATGCTCTTGGCAGATGCAGACAATGATGTCGATGATATGCCAGAACTCACTGTCAGATTCCAAGGAGATGATGACTATGAATCAGACGAAGATTTGGGTGATGAAGGCTATGAAGAGGAAGAACCTATTGTGGCTGATTTGGACCACCATCAAGAAAATGTCGATAGAGGAACCAATGATATTGGGAGCCTCGTTACAGATCTGGAGGACCTACAAGAGCCGCCAGAAGAAGAGATTTTATTTGAGCCTGAAGAGCCTCAAGTAGCAAAAGTCACTCAATCTGGGCAAACGTATGCGCAAGCTGCAATGTCTGGGCTGAACCTTTCTCAAGTTCCAAAGAAATCAAGAGAATGGCCTTCAAGCAGGAGTGGCAGTTCTGCCAATAAGAACAAGAATCGAGTTGCGACAAGACGCAAGCATTGAGAGAGAGAATTGAAACCGTTGAAGAACAAGTTAAAATCTGGTATCTGTACCAAAGAAGGAAGTTTCAGTACTAAAGACAGTAAAGCTATCCTTGAAGCAAAGCACAATCTATGTTTCCAACAGATTGGGAATGAGATGAAAGCTGATTATGGAGAGCACGACGCTATTCTGATCGCTCGTTGCATGATGCAGATCAAGGCCAAGTTTGATACTGATGAAGGTCTGAACTTCATTCAACATTATTACATCAATCAAGGACTTAAGAAGTTTGGTGATGATAGAAAGGATGCTGTGGATAAGGAAGACAAATGCTCCTGAGAGATTGTTTCACCCCTGAATTTGTTAAAGACATAACCGCGTCTGAGCGAAAGAAGGCCCAATCAGCGATGATGTTACTCGCGGAGAAGCAATTCGAAAAGACTATTAGAGGTCGCCTAGTATACCATGGCGATGGAACTTGTGAATGGTTATCACAAGAGAACACTGCAAGTCCAACTGCTTTGCAGGAAGCAATCGCCATTACTTGTGTTATTGATGCACACGAAGATAGAGATATAATGATGATGGACGTGCCTAACACTTTCATTCAAACTTATATGCCTAAAGCTAAGGAGGGAGAAGATTGTGTCTACATGAAAATCACTGGCATGATGGTCCAGATATTGATTGACATGGCCCCAGAGTATCGCAAATACGTTGTATTAGAGAACGGAAAGCGAGTAATCTATGTGCGGGTACTACGTGCTATTTATGGGATGTTGCAATTGAGCCTCCTATTCTATAATCAATTTCGAAGTGATTTGGAGGCAAAGGGATTTGTTTTCAATCCGTATGACCCGTGTGTTGCTAACAAAGTTGTTAATGGAAAACAACAAACTATCAGATTTCATGTTGACGATCTTATGTCAAGTCACATGGATCCAAAAGTGAATGACAAATTTGCTGAGTGGTTGAGATATGGTTCGATCCAGGCATGCACAATCGTCAGAGGAAAGATACACAGATATCTTGGAATGACTTTGGATTTCTCAGTGAAAGGAAAACTCAAGATCCGCATGGACAACTATGTCAAGAACATGTTGGAAGATTTTCCTATCAAGTTCTACAAGGATTCAAAGCAGGAAACACCAGCTGGTAACGATTTACTGGAAGCTGGTAAAGGAAAGTTACTCAATGCTGAGTACCGTCAGATCTTTCATACTACTGTTGCAAGGGGACTTTATGTCTCTAAGATAGCTCGTTTGGATATCCATCCAACAATTACTATTCTTGCCTCAAGAGTTAGAGACAGATCAAGTTGAGAAAGGAAATGTTAAGATCAAATACTGTCCAACTGACGATATGATTGCGGATTTCATGACTAAGCCATTGCAAGGTGAGAAGTTTTGCAAGTTCAGGGATCTGATTCTTGGTCCACAGGACTAGGTCAGACAAGTCAAGTATGTATATGTTCAAAATGAAGATACAAACAACAATAAACAGTGAATGAGAGTATGTCCCATTGCTGCCAATGGTGATTGTCACAATGACAGGAGTGTGTTGGGATATGACAAAATCTGAGTTTTTACATTACAAAAAGAAACTATTCACGTACAAAGTTTTCAACACGTACAATTGGACTTTGATCGTGATGTCAGGATTTGACGCAAGTATGCCGGACGCAACTCTGTTGGACAATCGGCGGAAAATCTTATCCATGTTGGGATATGACAAGAAACTATTCCAGTAAAACGTTTTCCACGCACAATCAGATTTTAATTGTGATGGCAGCAATCCAATGCAAGTCTGTCGGACAATCTATATCCACCTGGAAAGGGAATGACCCTATACAAGTGGAATATTGGTGTTGTGTACGATGCAGTTGGGAATAATACAAGATATCCCAAAGTACTGTATTCAACACAGAGTCCTTGTAGAAGTTGAATGGAGTTCTGTAAACAAGGGATTTCCCTGATGGAAACTCGTTAACCCACTTTTGTGATTGAATCATCAATTCAAGCCGAATATTATTCAAATAGGAACAATTTCACTCAAAGTATACCTAACATAGAAGAGCTATTCTTGTGGAAGTGTTGTACATTCAAATACAAATTTAGATGGTTCAATTATGTTGATACAATTCCTCTGGTGGACTGAAGAAGTCATTGTGTGTCTTCTTTGGAGTTGGCCTTGACATGAAAGC